GAATTCTCAGTTTTAGAATACCCTAATTATTATAGGACACCCATGAAATAAGGTAACAAGGCAATGACCAAAACCGTTGTGGTGTACATCCTTAGACAACTCTGGATCGTCGTCCTATAGTGTGTGTCGGGTTAGATTAGTTAGGTGACTGTGACCTGAACCCGCACTTAGCGCCAGTACGTTGATGTAAAGCTTAGTTCATTTGAAAGGCAAGTTAAATTAGTTCGATGGGCATCGTAAGTTCTTCAAAGAGTAAGTCCTGTTTTTATACACGAAATATAGAAATACTATATACTGTCACTAGTTGACTAAACCGGTATATTTATAGACTACTTACTATTTCATAAAGTGGATCGGGTCGTTTGTTTTAGGACTCGAGTATCTTCCAGTATCTTGAGCTTCATCAATGGCCCTTTGCAACTGAAAGACTGATTAATTTTGCAGCGAAAAACGTCCTATGTAAAGGTTTCGACAAGGGATAAGCCAGTCACTCTCTGCTCGTAGAAGTCGTCCAGATCATGCCGAGACGTGCATAACTTAATCTGACATAAAACCGATTGATGTATATATCGGCCAATAATCACAATGTGATGCAGGGTTCTATAACAGTAACACTTTCCAACACGAACTTAATACCGCTTGTGAAAACTTTTAGAATATACTATCTATCCAGCCATTTACACAAATGGGGCAAGGACTCATAACCTGTATTAGTTAGCCGATAGACCACGATAAAGCAGTTACCTATATAGTGCAAGACCTAGAATTAGAATTGACGAAGTTCAGAAACATGTCGCAGTGTTTAGTTTTAAAGTCAGCGTGTAAACGAGCCGTCCATTGAAACGCTTCCGCATTTTCATGTTGCCAATAGAGCGAGGCAATTATTCTTATTTATTAAATTTAGCCTTTTTTCAAGGTGGCGAACACTCGGATACCGCTAAAGCCACCGCCTTTTTCGGACTTTTCATGTGTTTTAGCAACGTAGCTGACGACGTAACAATTTGCTCAAGAGTTGACAGGCACGATGCCGGCTTACTGCTGCAAAAACCTTACGCAGACTTCTTCACTGGACCAACAGTTCGGACGAGAACTATGGGTTGAAAGGTGTGTCATCATTTTTTTTTTTAGAATTAGCATTTGACACGAGGAAGTCTCAATCATGTATAGCCTTTCAGCGGATTTACCGTACAAAAAGTGAAAACTAAATACCTGAATTCGTATATCAAACAATTCAAGATGTACATTAAGCCATCTATATCGTATCCGAGTTTGAAAAAGATACCGAAAAGCTTGAAAAGGTAGATGAGGTAGAGAGAAGGAGGTGCAGGTGGGAAAATGATTTCCTTAAAATGTCAAGGGGAAAAGTTAGACGTTTTATCAATTTTCATTTATTTCAATATTAATTATAGACGTATCAAGACGCATTGAGACGAAAACATCAATGTTCAATACAATGGAGACAACTCCCAAATGGTACAACAGTACTTTGCCATTTATCGAAGTTCTAACACTAAAAAACGGTCGTTAATAATCTACGTCATGAGAAGTCTTCCGTGCGGTGCTCGACTAAATATAAAACAATATATAAAAATAGCATGACTGCTACAGACCAGGACAACTGACATCCCTAACGCTGTAGTGATTACCTCTGTTCCTCGTGCAGGGCAGTCAATGGTTACCACCACTTCGTGAATTTTTCACGTGTCAGGCTTCGCTAACGGGCACGTATAACTCAATGGCAAACTGAGCTAGGCTAATGCCTCACCGCTTGTCATGGACCAGTGATGCTAATGGAATTTGCTCATCTTTGTACCGAATGGTAAACCTTAGTTTAGAATGGAGAGCTACTTCATTGAGGTATAATCTTGCAGTGTGGCAGAAAAGGTTGAACGCAAAGTACAAAGACATCTTTGTTTGTACTGCCATGTAACATGATTAAGTGCTCGTTAACGGCCCATAGAAACTGAGACAGATCTGGTCAGACGTTTTTCTGTGACAGATCACTGCTTGATTGAAAATAAAAATCGCTGCTAGTCGCGGCCTTTCTATGCCATTATCGGTGCCAATCATTCACTTGCTCCTAAGTGAAGTCGGCTAGTATGACGTGCAACTGTTATCAAATACATCTAGAATCAGCCAAAATCGTTAGGTATTATCCAGCTCAAGCTCTCTATATCATTACGTGGCTCTGCTCTAGACTTGTTTCATGTTAGACACCGACCGTTAGTTTCGTTAAATGCGGAATTTCCTTTGCATTCGTTACTCGTTCTCATTGGAATAACTAACTGGTAAAATCTGACACTTTATGCGTCAAAGATGCGAAACGCGCTGTTCGTGATAGCGTGTCATCAAAAGATCAGGCGGTAAGAACGACGGAATAAGCAAAAGCATCTGAACTACTAGATCGGACTCCAAGGGCCAAACGCCACCCTACGAGGTAGCGCGAAGAGTGGTGGCAAGTTGGCGTGCCGTTATCGACCAAAGTCCTAGCTCATCTTGAGACATTACGGAACCTTTGCACGACAAAGATTCACTGTTTTTCAAGCAATGTCGCATGCTAGCTTATCATCAACCTTGCTGTTGTTTTAGAGAGCCTGTTGTGTAGAGAAAACGATGCTCCCGCATGCAAAATGATTTAATTTGTTCATTTAGATCCGATTTATGCGCTGTCTTATCAGACGATCTGACAATATACGCTACGTGTTGCGATTATAGTGTATAAACGCGTCCATATAACCACACAGTATGACAAACGAGGTAATGAATGATACATTGCATCCTTGGGCACAGGCTTAAATTTTAATCAATAAAAACAGGAATAAATTTGATTCAGATGTGGTAGCAACATGGGATTAGGCGAGTTTTTGAGCGAATACCCTTTTCTGACTAGATTACTAAAAGAGCCAGCATTAGATAAGGGACAAAGCTAAACATGCACTAACGCATATCGTTTGAAATCATTTAAAACACTGCTGTGCTGGAAAGATGGCTCCGGAGTCCCGTACTAATGATGCCGCATGGCAAACTGAGTACGCTTTAATAATATAGACTTGAAACAAGCGGGAGTTTTGAATTAAACGTGTTTCTAGATATAGGAACAAACCTCTCCTAAGTTTACAGTCCCTTCAAGGCAAATGAAAAGCATACCTTGACAAGCAAACACTTAAGTTTTACTCTTTAACGGTTGACTCTTTTCGATGATAAGTAAATCTGTAAGGTCTGCTTATCGCCGAAAAAAACGGAACCGAGCAGAGGTGGAGCAGATGTTTCTTCGAACGGAGTTATCCATCGTTCACTGCCGACGAGCAGAGACAGAGCCGTTATCGCCAGCGTGATCACCGCTAAAAAAAAAGTCTTCTAGTATGCAAACCTTAGTAGTACTAGTATTAGTATTAGTAGTACTTAGAGATGATAACAGATACAAAATAATTGATTTGATATGTTTTTTTACTTCTGGTCGATTACGCCGTTGTTGGAGTTGTTGTTGGTCCTGATGCGTGTCGTGAACGCTACAAGCTATTGAGATAAGAAATATTAAGGAACTGATGCGTATTCAGCGCGGCAAGTGATTTCACTGAGATAGTGCTTATCCGCAGATGCAATTAACTGAGTGTTTTGCTTTATTGTTTCAGGCTGTTTTAGGCCTTAAAGGACGGAGGTCAACCGGTGGGTAAGATCTAATGACGGTAGTAATAATGACAGGCTATTCTTGAATGGCGTACGCTTTCGCCGAGCTTGGACACCTGAGAAGTAAGAAATTTGAATAAGTTAATTCATGGGACGGAGGTCATCGGTGATCAGTAGGAAGCCTGAACTACACGAATATTAGATCATGTTATCGCTAATGCTTTCAGTGTAGGTTTTAACTTTAGTAGGTCTCTCTATGTGCAGCCTTTTTCACTAGTGTTTATCTTTATTAAATGCTGCCAAGCCACGTGTCTCTGTTTACGGGTCGATCTAACTCCTGCTAGCTACTACTACAACTGCTCTTCCCTCTGAAATCGCCGCATTCATGACCGGTGCTGTTTTACGGTACGAGCTGCTTTTCCCTATGTCCGCTGGTCCGCTGTCGCCATTGAGGGATTGCTCGCTAAGGCCCAGTGGGAGTCGATCATTACCGAAGATCAAACCGTCAGCACATACTGGCCCTGGTCAGCTCGTCGTGAAGGAGCAATTCCGCCGATAATAACATGACTCTTTGTCGCTAGCTTCTTTACTTTTGTATTGCCTACCAGTTCTTCCTTGACACTTGCTGACTAGCTAGCTATTCTGACAGAACAGCATCAACTTGCTCAACGCAAAGAAACATGTGTGGTCTTAGATGCGCCGGCAACGGCACTCTACGCGCGTGTGTTGACGTGTCGTCCGGTGTACAGCGAAGGCTGATGTCTGTTTGGGTGTCTGTCTGTATGTGTGTGTGACCGCGTGTCGGCAGATGGTCACCGATGGCTCGTAGATAAAGGCGCATGCGCCCACAGGCGCCGCCCCTTGGCGGGCCCGCACTACTCGATTGCTCCCTACCACCATCGTGAAGACGGCAACGACCGCCAGCATCAACAATAGCAGCACTGCAGGCTGGTTGACTGGCTACGAAGACCGGCAGCGACTTTAAGGGACTGCGAAGGGAATAGGCCTGAACGGCGCACGGCGGAGGAGTTAGCTGAATGAACGGGAAAACTGGTGAAACCAGTGGGCCTGACTGTCTGCCTAGATCTAGGACCAACAAGGACTTTGTAGCAGTAGCAGCAGGAAAAGAGGTGATGGCAGGGAAAGCGCGCGCGCGCGCGAAAGGGAGAGAGAAGGCGAAGATAGAGGGGAGAGCGTAAGGAAGCAACAGCAAAGGGTTAGCAGCGGCCGCGGGCGCTCCGTTAGCAGCACCGTCGTTGGGTGCGTGAAGGCGAGCGCCGGAGCTGTGGAGCGCCGGCCGGCGGGAGCGGAGCGGAGCCAGCCCCGATCAAGAGTCACTAGTGGCAGATTGTCAAAACGAGCAGCCCGTTGAGCCACGGCCGAGGGAAGCTCGCAGCTCGGGGACACGCGTCTGCTGCACGGACGGCGGAAACGGGCCGCACAGCCTTGTCCAGCCCAGAGAAACTGACGAACAGACACAGCGGAACCGGTTCGGTTCGATCTGATACGGTTCTCAGTTGGCTTTCATCTCGACAACGGGTTACGAATGTGTGCTAAACAAAAAACCGAGTGTTCAAGCTATAAAAGTAAGTAGAGAGCTTGCGCAGTCTTTGGCCGGGGAGACAAATGGTACTCCTCACAACAGAAGTTCATAGGAACGGCTAACTGGGCAAAGACCATCGTTGTCAACGACGGGTAACAGGCATGTGCCCGCATTTGATGTCGGGTCGAGTGTCATTTCATCGCGAAAACACTATCAATAGGATATCTAAGATGAGAATTATTGACGCCCATGTGTCCTAATCACGAGGGAAAGGAACTGTGGATATTTTCAGACTGCGCGCATTAGATCGGCGGAGAATTTCGGAGTACGCCGGTCAGAAAGGAATGTGAAAGCGTTGCTTTTACTCACGGAACGATATTTGTCAGGGGGCGCGAGATACCTGTTAGCGACGCTGGCCCGCCCCAGGTTAACTATGATTTGACATATCGCCAATGTAGTTTTTTGTGGGTGGAAGGAGAACGATAGCCAGAAGTGTGAAGACTGGCGATTGACTAGAAAAAAGTGACGAGCGACGATTGATTACTGTGTTTCATAGTGTAATAATAATAAAGGTGACGCGAAGGAGGATGTGAAGGGACAGGTGTGACAAATACAAGTGTAACATAGGTAATGACTGTGGCAATGTCGAGATGCCATTGAGCAGTGGATTCTTGATTCTGCTCCAATTTATAAGTAGGTATGCAAGTAATGAAATGAAAAAAAATGCTCGATAGCAGCTATGGATTGACGTTGTGCCGAAAGGACGTGGCATACAAGCCCTGTCTGTCGTAGGCAGGGTTCTATACTACGACGAGTGGAAGAACTTCGTCAATTTCTTCCTAAGACAGTGAATATCTTGACCTGTTCCTGGTGTACGCCTATGGCCAGCATGCGCATAAATGAAAGTTGACAAGAAGAAGGCACGCGTCTAACATAACTTTCGTGGTAACATTTGGTTATACCGGCGCCGTTGGAAACGAAAGTTGCACATAAATCTTCCCGCAGAAAACCTGCACGAGTCATAATGGAAAGCCGAATAGATCCTGGCGACAGGATCACATCACGAAGAAAACAGCCCAACCCGAAGCCTATCAAAGCGACCCAAGGTAAGCATACCCAAGCTAAAAGACTCTCGTAATATGTACGTTACTAGCGAAAAAAAATCATGTGAAATGTAATACGGCGTGCAGCTGTAAGAAAGGAAAGCGCGTCCGGCCTATCGATGATAAACACGATCAGGCCTAATCATGCTTTACACTGGTTATGTTAAAACATGAGTTTGTGAAAATTAGTTAAATCATTCTACCGCAGTTCAATATTATAGCACAGTCGAGCCCGTTCTGGACAAACGGGAACACTTTCAGATCATCAGTATTACCAGCCATCATACACTCAATCGGTATAGCTTTATTGGTCCATACTGGTCCACATAGCGAGATAGCGGAAGCTATTTATATGTTTTGAACAGCTTAGACTTAGGAGGCAGTAAATCGGGTGAATTTTAGTCTGACTATAACATTTTCTACGAGCGGTCGTATATTTTTCTATGATTGTCGTTTAAACCTGTCAAACACTTTGCGCATGCTGTGTTTTGCTAAGCACGGGCTCCTTGTTCCCGTCGCTTCCGGTTGCGTTAGCGTTTTGTCGATCTTTGTTTTCTACATGTACATACAGCATGTGAAATCGATAGAATCCCGGCCGATCCATGCGCTACTCGCGGCCAGGTGCTTTCCGCGGTTGGTGGAACAAACCTGCACACAAATAAATTTCATATAGTATTTAATTCATACGCGTTCTTCTTATCGCTACTCGCATGGCATAATGGCCATAACCTAGATACATGGTGGGAATCATTGATCGTCGCCGACATCGGCCTTCCATCGAATCGTGCTGACATTAGATCGATCGCGGACGCGTCGATGAGTGCCACTTATCTCTTCCATACGCACAGGGAGCGAGATGCACACGAGCACTCGTAAGCCAGCTAGCCAAGTAACCTATCAAGCAACGATAGCTTAACGAATCAGTTACAGAGCGGACGGTCAAATACGTTGGCACGTACTACGATACCCTGTTCCCTTATGTATAAAGTCATTCACATTTAGAACTAAACGTAGGAGAGAGCGGGGTGCAGCCTCGAAGTCTAGATAGCTTTTTGCTTGCTGCCGGGTACCCGCTGAAAAAGCCTGACGGAATCGAACCTATCTTTGGTAATGGCCATAATAGTAAACGTTTGAGTCGAGCAGATTTCGACTGCTGGCATTTTTGCGGCTGAAGCGCCGCTTGCCGAGGCAGCGCTTCCCTGTAATAGTCATGTATCTTTGGCGGCGAGAAGGGGCGTTGCTACATCAGTTCTGTATATTAGCTCGTGTTAGCTTTGTGTCTAGATGTTATTCGACTCACAAAAGAAGTATCGAATATTAGTACTTTACATTTTTGTCACCGGTGCCCGTCTGTATTCGTTCTGTGCAGTGTTTCATTAACCGAATTACTGCCGTCATCGTCTTTTCTCGTTTCCCTAGCGCTAACGCTACCACCGCGAAGACAGGCGCTTCCGGTACCGTTCCGTTCATTCGTGATCTCTATCTAATCATGATTTCATGTCGACGTCCAGAATTCGATCGATTCAATAGAACGTATCACAACAGGCAACGCAGCAGCAGCGGCTGTCACAGCGTAGGCGGCTGTAGGAAGTCGCATAAGCATAGGCTCCGGCCGCAAACGCGATCACTGGTACGAAGAGAAGAAGATGGCCGATCGAGCCAATGTCATCTTGGCAGTTTAAGGCGCGGCAAGTGACGCTTACTTCTGTTGCCGTAGCTAGTTCTGTCACCATGACTAACTTCGCTGCCGCTACCGTCATGGTTGTTAAGGTGCGTCTCACCCCATGCACTTGACGGAGATGCGTTTCTGATCTTGTTCAGTCATCATTGGCATGGCTGGCTAGTGGCTGATCGCCCTCCTGTTGAGAGACAGGGATTCTGTAGAGCATTTACAACGACACACAGGATCAGGGATGGCAAGAGCGACCAGATCTTCAATGACAGCGATGGCGCTATGAACGGTCAGTCGATGAGCAATTGGTGGGGTATTCTAACGTGAGTCATTGTTAACGTAATGAACATACCGGTTACCGGCACAGCGGCCCGTCAAGCCAATGCAAAGGTGTTAACTATGTGTTAAAGTGGAAACAAGCCCATTCGGCAGTAAACCCAATTCTGGGTTTTTAAGCTCATATCGTCGACAGTATGAACTGGATTGGGCAGATCTTTCCTTCGCTCGCGAGATGAAGGCAAGTTTTTTTTCTCTGTTTTGTCCCGTTTCCATGGTTTGAAGAAAAGGCCAAGGAAAGTCCCATCGGATGGTGTCAGTCTGGCCGCAGAAATAGCCGAGGTAGTTTCCACTGAGTTCCAGGCAGGCTGACATTGCTGGTCGATTTCAGTATTGATTGCATCTACGGGGTATAGAAAAGTCTCTGCTTGACCTTTTCGTCCGTTGGCTTTGGTTACACGGCGATGTCAATTTCTAGTCCTTACGGGCTACTTCTGATAATGACTGCGAAGACGAAAGTGAATCTACCGAAGCGGTGGCAAAGTTACCTGATTGGACGTAAGTCAGCTGGCTTTCCCCCTTTGAAAAACGGGTACGTACTCTGTAAAAGTATTGCAACTAGACAGTACCTATAGCCAAAGCGGTAAGTGTTCCTACGATACGTGCAGAAATAAATCTATTACGTGTATGCATGTTAGAGTTTACTCGATTTTTTGCTAGGCTTTCAGTACTATCTTCTTTTGTCCACAGTCGTATCTTCGTCTAGCCACGTATGGAGCCATCAGACACCGGATTAACATAGCTATCCATAGAACATAGGGTGTGTATAGTGAAACCAGTACAGATTAGCAAACAATTCCAGTCAGAGACAAGTACTAAGCGCAGTCGACGTACTTCTGAAGCTAAATTCTGTCCATAATTCACAATGTCTTCTATGTAACGATAACGATTCAAGCGATTCAGCTAAAATATCATATAAATACAAAACAAAGTACGAGCTCAGACGGCAAAATTTGGCCGATAGATCGTATAGAATTCGATGCATTAATAACCTATGCAGGATACCTAATTAACGCTACGAGAGGGATCGGTCCCGTCATCTTGAATGTAAGCAGAACGTCCACACATTAACTAGGCATCCTTGAAAAATTGTTTCTTTGTCATGCGCATTATCAAATGAAGTCTACAGTAACGAAATTTCCATAACAAAATTCGATGAAGAGCTAATTTGGCAAAAGCGAAAAGACGCACACGCTCCCCTTACCACTGTACCTCTGAGAAGACCAGGGAAGTCTATACCACTAATAGTTAAGAACTTCTGCGCATAAGTACACCTAAATCGTGGCAGGATTCTTGTCGTTCTGGATTTATCTGACATCATTCACAAATTATCGATCAGCAGTACGCTCCTATTGAAAACGTCGACGAAGTTAAGAAGAACTTCGAGCAGCTGAAGCTCATTGTAAAAGGAGAAATGCGCAAAAGAGCCTTATCGAAGCATCATGTAGAAGGACATAGCAAAGTTGCGTACCATGTCCACAAGTGACGTTTACCATTTACGTATGATCATCAAAAAAAAATGTAATATTTACTCCACTTGATAGAATATGGTAAAAATATACCGCATAGCTTGCTAATTTCCATTGTTCGCAAAGAGCCCGTGAGGCTGCTATTTAGCAATTTGGCCATGCGATCCATTGCTGCGATTGTGTGGGTAATTGACCCTATATTCATACTGTACAAGGATAGGACCTATCTCATGATAAGGGCATAGGCCACAGTCTTCTCAGAATTTTCACGCCGAGTCCAACGTTCAGTTAAAGCAGAGTTTAACCGGCGAATCCTATTCGCTTCACCAATGAAAAGCAACTGTATTTAGGAACATTCCTAAGATCTGTCTCATAGGGCGAAGGGGGCCTAGCTTGCAACAAATCTCGACAGGCCGACATTACATAAACAATTTGCTCGTGAGAAGCCATTCGGATCGGCCTGATTTTCGAACGCACGCAAAAGCGGCTTCCTTTCATCAAAGATCTATGGGAATGATCGATCCCTAAAATTAAACAATCCTTCACGTTCAAAATCATCCGGGCAAAGTATCTCACAAAGAGGCCAAATATGACGCTCGATTATGTTCCCTAACAGCGTTTAATTTACGAAAATGACGAAAAAGAGCACATATAAATAAATCGACGTTCCGACCTTATAAAATGTAGAATAGGGGCAAACATGTGTGAGTCTCAGGCTTTTCACCTTTGCATTTTTTTTTGAATTTTTTCCACACTTTATATGCAATACGCCGCGAATCTATCGTCATTATTACTATATTTTTATTAGTATTATCTAGGTCCGTTTAATGTGCGCTCACGTTTTATTCAAATCTATGTGATTACTCAGTAAAATCTAGCGCGGACAAAGTGCCGTAATAATAGTTGAGTTCGGATATTGTTTCTTCAATTATTATAAAAAAAAAAATCAGAAATCGTACTCAAGAGACTAGCACACAAAAACGATGGTCCGCTAAAAACGACGTTGTCAAGCAAAAACTCCGAGAAGGAAAGCAGGAGAACGAATTTTTCTTTTTCATCGAGATCGCTATGCATCGATAGGAAGTCAGGACGAATCGAAATAACGTCAGAGGCCGTGGTATTTGCGCAATTTACCACGACAATCCTTATCACATACCAAAAATGGGCGACGAGGACAGCCACTTCCATAGAAAAAGCTATGGATTTTCGAAGCTAATTAGTCTTTTGATCCTTTAATCGTTAGCCCTAAGTTAAGGCCGAGAATGGTTGCCCTCAAATTAATAGAATGCTGTTCTGTTGTTGGGAACAGAAATATCGAAGCTAAATAACAAAATGTTTGTATTTAGATAAGTGTCCAAGCCACAAGTCTTGGCTAGGTCTCGGACTTGTCGTTGAAATATATGTCCAACTAAGCAACCTCTTTACGGCAATAAAATGTCGTACCACTATGGGATCCATTGGAACTTACACAGGTGACAGTTTTATTTAAATATTATCTATCGCTTCCTTCCGTTGCGGCTGTGGGC